AGATGGAAAGATTTAATGACATCCATTGATGCCTCGGTTTGTATGAACAAGGAGATGGCAGCCCTAATACGATACGGAGGGAAGAAATATCCATCTGGGTTCAGTTCCAAGTGGGGAAAAGGACACTGGAGACATGGAGACTGCTTGGAAAGATGGGTATAATGGTAGACAAGAACACGTGGTCCTGGGCAAAAAGGGAAGAGAAGTGGAGAGTGCCCTGATTTTATGCCCTCTCTGGGCTTTTGAATTTGAGTTTGTGTTCTGATTGGCCGTCAAACTGCCATGGGGCCATGCAGGGTAACTTTGTAGGTTGTGCTTTTGAGTCCCAGGCTTGGTTGAGCCTTGCTGGGTGATGATGTAATGAAAGGGCTTTGGGCAATTCCTACTATGGTTCTGCTTGAAGGAAGTAGATCTTTGTTATGTAAAATAGACTGACTGAGGCTTTAATCGCCCATTGACAAGGTAGGGGCGTGTGAGTTTCTGCCTCCCTTTTAGGGGAAATATTATGCCCTTTTAATATTTCCCAAAATATCTCATTTTCCTAGGAGAGGGCTGGGCGCTAACTTCCTACAATACTATGCTTATAAAAGTTTAAATGTTCTCCAAAATGTAGAGGCTTTCAAGGAAAGTTTAAGAATTGATTCTTAAAGCTCTTAAAAATTTAGAACTTTATATACAACCTATCCTTGGAGATAAGTCTTCTTTTACTTTGAAATGTGATTCATAACTTTTTCAGGATGGTCCATTAGCAAGGGGGTTTAAAGGAAAAGGATAATGAATATAAGGTTCACTTGAATTGCATAACTCTTTCCCTAAGAAGTTCTGACGTGCAGAATGAGGAGAGTGTTTGATAAGCCTGACTTCTGAACGATTATAGATATAGTAAGTCTGGTTTTCTCCCTCAATCTCTTTTTAAAAAGAAAAAGAAGGAAAGAATATTCTCCCAATATTCTCCATTTGTTTTGTTCTGCTATTGCTTTCATATTTTTAAAAAAGGTGGTTTACACTTTTAAATTGTAAGTTGCAGTGGTGGTTTTCAAAAACATTTACTACTGGTTGAAGATACAATGTTAATTTGGGCAAAGAATTTTGGCCACACGATTGAGATAGAAAAGTGGCAACAATTATCAGAAAGGAACTATAAATTAACCATGTCAACCTCTTACTAAGAAAACTTATACAAAATGTTTTATAGATGGCACATGTCACCAGGGAAAATTAGCAAAGATGTTTAAAGAAAAATCAGCGAAATGTTGGAAATGTCAAGAAGCAATGGGTTCCTATTATCATATGTGGTGGCAAGGGAATATTGGACTAAAGCAAGGGAATATTGGACTAAAATAAGAGTATGGTTAAAGAAAATGTTAAAAGAAGAAATAGAATTTAGACCAGAAGTATTTGTACTAGGTATTATCCCAGAGAAACTCAAGAAAGAGGATACTTATTTGATTATACATGTAACTACAGCAGCGAGAATTGTATTTGCTCAAAATTGGAAATTAAATAAGCTACCAGCAGATGAAGAGATAATAAAAAAGATATTAGATTGTGCAGAGATGAATAGGTTGACAATGAAAATAAAGAATTAAGAGGAATCGGAGTACTTCAAAACATGGAGAAGATTTCATGATTGGCTAGAGAAAGGAAACTAGAAAAGAAAGTAGGAAAACAGTGATATGCAAATATAAACGGTTGGTAAATCTCTTTCATAGTGGGATCTGTGATTATATAAAGTTATTAAACAGACAATCAAGAATGTAAGGGAATTAGGTTTATTGAAAAAAAATATTAATTGTAATTGAATTTACACTGTACAATGAAAGTGAGGTATTTACTTATATTAGATGAAAAATCTGTGATTGTAAATGTAATTGAGAATATAGATGCAAAAACACTTGTAACCAAACGACAAGCTGTATGTAATGGATGAGATCGTGCAATAAAACTTTATTTAAATAAAAGAGAGAGAAAAAAGAAAACCATCCCTTCAAGTATGCTTTTCTCTCCCTCCTCCCATCCCGAGGAGAGGAGAAATCCAGGGTTTTTATGCCAGGGCACAAAGAAGAAGAAATCGTGATACAGGATGGAGGGTCGTTACAAGTG